TTCTATGCATGTGAAATGAGAAAAGAAATAAAGCTATTTGATGATATTATCATGAAATTTGCAATTCAAGTTCTTTCTTCGTTTCATATTTTAAAAAAGAAGTAGTCCTTCTGTTTAGATTTATCATCTCTGATGAAAACTTTCAATTTTTTTTGTTTAGATTTATCATCTCTGATGAAAACTTTCAAAATTTCACTTTAATTTCTTTGAATCGATTTTTATTTTTTGCTCAAAATTTTGGCATATTTTATATGCATCTGAAGTTTGGTATCGAAAAATTCTCAAATATTATGAAAAGTCAGAAAATGAACCGTTTTTGCCTAAATTGTAACTGTTGAAATATATGAAGTTTATTGTAATTGTACAAGTTGCTAACTCTTATCTCATAGCTGTAAGGTCAACCGGCAAAGTTTTTCAGAACTGTTTATTGGTTTTGGTTTCTTTATTTATTTTGTATTCTATTGTAAAGAAGTTTCAGTTGCTGATTAGCATAACTCTTCATGATAAATTGATTAATGCTAATTTTTTGAATTATTCCTTTTTATTAAAATCTGAAATAAAAACTAAACTGAATAATAAGCAAGTAATTTTACAACAATAGAAATGAAAATTTTTCCATAATCACAGAATTATTTAGTATGGGAAATTTTTTGCTTTTACAATATTTCATTTCTTATTGTGTTGAATATTGAGAATATTTCAGTGAAAGTCTCAAAAATTAATAACATTGCTTAGCGCAAATACTTTTACCCTTCTGCGATCAAATTTAATCATTCGATATTCATTTAAGGATGATTATTTTCAAAATAATACTATGTTAAGAAATTTTTTAATGTAAACTTTTTAAAATTTGTAATTGTTGCTAAATATTAAAAAAAACCAAACTTAGTTATGAACTTCTGATTTGATATTACCTAAAGTTGATAAAAAATGTAAGGTAAAAGGTTCATCACCAATCAGTTTTCTGATTTTTTGTTATAATTTGGTTGATTAACATGTTTTTGCTACAAATTTTGCGGATAAATTATTGTTTTCAAAAAATCCTTTCGAATATTTCATGGATCAGAGATTCTATGATCTCCAAATTGGCGGTTAATTCATCTTTTCGTGATCAGAAAGTGAAACTTTCAAAAATTTTTGGTAAGTGCAAAGAAAACCAACACAATGGATGCAAAATCAAAGTACTTTCAAGCTATACAATTTCTGAAAACTATCCATCACTATTACTACTTCTAATATCTGCAAAGCAATAAATTTTCTATTTTATCTAAGATTGATTAGTTTTGTTTTAAGTAGAAATGTATTGATTTAATTGAGAGTCCCAGAGATCAATCACTCAAAATTATTAATTCTTCATTTGCAAGGAAGAAATTTCATGTGTTCAAAAAGAAAAAATACTAAAAAAAGTTTCCATCTGAATTCTTAATAAAATAATAAAGTTAATTAGTTGACGTTTATCAAATTAATCTTTCAAAATGAAAGATCAGCAAAGTTTCAGAGCTTTTTTTTATGCATACTAATAACATCTTAATTACTAATTATTTATTTTATTGTTAGTTTTTAGCGCATTGGACTATTCTGTTATTTTTTAATTTTGGACAATAATAATATCAACTGTGATGGTTATAATTATTGATTAGAAAAGATTCTTTTTTTTCAGCAAGTTTTGTCTTGAATGAAGCAATCTAAATGCTTAATGTAATTATGAAGCAAATATTGTAGCAAATTTGTTATATTTTATCTTTGCATACAAAAAAATGATGTGTAACTAAACATGTAATGAATTTGAAATGAAAATAATTGTGGTCGACTGAGCAGTATCAATACTATCTATCTATCTATTTATCTATCTATCTATCTATCTATCTATCTATCTATCTATCTATCTATCTATCTAACTATCTATCTATCTATCTATCTATCTATCTATCTATCTATCTACTTTGTACATAAATTTTCATTGCCATTTCTAGCATGAAAAAGTCATCAAAAACTGGCAGTATTGATACAATCAATCGATAAATTCTTTCTAACATATTTTCAAATCAAACACATAAATGGACCAGGCGATGACTGGCTTCAAAATTTTTATCATTTCTGATATTTGTAAAGTTGTTTGAGTATTGTTTTAAAGTAAACTAAGCTTTATCTTCCATCAATTGCGCTCATTCAAATTGTTACTTTGATTAAAATGACATTTTCAAAATTTTTCTAGTCCAAAAATGCTTATAATTGCTTATTTTATTTCCAACTTTCAATTCATACACTAATACAATAAATTTAAATTTAGTTTGTTATTGAAATAGTATACATTTAATACGTATTTTTGGGTGAAAATGAAAAAATTGCTGAAAAATATTTGCAAAGTTGCCCATAATTTCTGTACAAAATGGTCTATACTAGAAGTGATCAAACTGCCTTCAGCACAGTTTGCATTAGAAATAATCATTCTTTTAGAAAATCTATTTGTATGCATAACGGGATGAAAATTTAGGCAGAAAAAAGCAATGACAGTTTCGTATTTGAGTTATTTCCAAATATAACACGTTGTGTTTATTTGCATTATTTTAAAAGCTTGCATTACATTAATTCAAACATTTTCAATCTGTTTAGCATCTAAATTGAAAATTTCGATAGTTATGATTCACAAATGTCCCACGCAGCAAACCGTTCCTCATCTCCACTATTGTTGCTTTTTTGTAAATTAATGCTTTATTTTAAGAGATTTGTATGAACTCACTTCACAAATTTAATATATTTTGGATTAAGTAGTAAAGACAAAATTGGTCGTAAAAAAGTTAGCAATTATATATCATTGTATTAGCATCATAATCGTAATGAATAAGTTTGTCTAAAATATTTACATTAATTACCTCAACATTATCAAATTTTGATTTCTTAATTAGCAGCTAGAACTGCAAATGTGATTGCATGCATTGCTCAAAATTTTTCCATATTATTTTTTCCATAAAAATGTAAGATTAAATTTTTGTCATCTTTAGAAATTTACTTCAGTTCGTTTTATTCAAGAGTTTTGTCGGTCAAAGTATCATTTAACTAACTTACTGTATGCTTATTTAATCGCGTCTGTCATTGATACCATTATCCTAACTGTAGTCAGTAAAGTTACTTCTAAGCTACCTTTATTTTTTATTCAGATCAGTGCGACTTTTTCTTAAGCTAAACTGTATTCTTCTATATCATAGCCCCTGAACGATGTGTAAGAAGAGAAAAGTCGAATAGACTAATTTTTCGCTGTAGTTTTTCTCAAGAGTCATTATACAAGTACATATAATTTCTAAAAATTGCTTCCTACATCAAAAATGCCAAAATATTCTGCAAATTTCGCTTTTTTACCAAATAAATTTTACTTTTTCGTGTGCAGTTTTCTGGATAATTTTTGTTTGCTACATTCATTAATTTGTGATTCTTCTGACCAAAATGATTGCAGGCACTGCCAAAGGTTCATTCAGGGGTCATTTCTCTTTACTATTAAAATGCTTTAAAATATCAAATAAATATCATTTATTAGTGACAAAAAACTGATCTCATTTGTGTTGTAGCTAAATTTTGAAAATGATTTTAATGTAATTTTTTTGACAATTCCGGAAATGAAGTGAGGCACTCTAACTGTTTTCAACACAGAAACAAATGTACCAAAACATTGATTGAGGTGGTACTTGATTACGATAAATTGTCTATTCATATTTGTTAGGTATCAGTTAGTGAAGCAATTTGTGTTTATTTTGGTTGAGTTCAGTTCAAATGAATTCAAAATCATTCAATTGAATTGAAATTAGATTAGATTAGATCAAAAAGGATTAGATAAAATTAGTTCATTTTAGCTCAGTTCAGTTCAGCTCAGTTCAGTTCAGTTCAGTTCAGTTCAACTTACTTCAATGAGATAAAGAAGATTGATTGAATGAATGAAGGAATTAATTAATGAATGAATGAATGAATGAATAAGTGAATGAATGAATGAATAAATAAATGAATAAATGAAAGGGAGTGGAAAAGAGTATTCAAACATTTTTGTGATATTTGTTGATGGCGGCGATGCTGCTAGGATGCTACTGCCGCGTTGCTGTTTATTCAGTGTTCCATTCTTGACGTGTTCTTCTTTCTTTTGCTTTGCTCTATTTCCACTTGACAATTTGAAGACTTATTTCCACAATTAAGCCTCGTAATGTCCTAACAAATACCTTATTCGTTCAGCAATTCATTCTTCTGCGATCTTACTCGTTGCTTAATATTTAAGCAAAATAGTGCAAATGTGTGTTATCACTACGTTATCTTTTCATCAATTTTAAAACTTTAATAACAAATTTTAATACTATTTGTTGTTGTTCATTGTTGTTGATCTCATTGTTACTGCACTATTTTTCTTTCTTACTGATAATAAATAATATTACATTCTGCATTGTGATGATATTATTTGGAATATCAAATCAGGTTTAGGGAAGCAATGAACAGAGGGTTAGATTCAGAGTGACTCTGGCCTATTCGCTCCAACAACACTATTAGAGTTTCAGGATGATGAATGATACAGCTGCTACACAATTCTGATTTCTTTTGCACAATTACTCTACAAAGTAGCTCGTATTTTTCTGCGTTTTCTTTGCTACTTTAATACATATATTATCATTTCTGCTACTTTCGCCATCATTATCGTTTTATTATTACAAGATTTTTATTATTATTATTATTATTATTGTTATTATTCTTATTGTGGTATTATCGCTGTGAGTTAGCTACTTTGCCAGTACTACAATGACTGTTCATTATCATCTCATCGCTGCATATTTGGAGCAGACATTTCATGTAAACTTTCCATTAAATGTTATCATATAACATTGTACGATATCAACAATTACTGACAGTATTTACTGCCAAAAGCCAAAGTAAAAAAAATTGTACATCATTAATTTGTCTTGAATCAGATTTAATTAATAAATTTGCATAATTTGATTGAATCAACAAAAAAATAAAAATAAATCGAAATGCCATGGTGCTGTGGCTTGGCAAACAGCGGTGAGGCAGCATCTACCGCTCTTATCACCACCAATAGTAACGCTGATCTCGAACAGCAACAGTTAGATGCTGCTAATACAAGTGCGTCCAAAACATCAACTACTTTTGATATTAATTTTGGACCTATGCTTGTGCAACCAAAGAAAACGGTAAGACTTACTCACTCATCTCATTCTTGCTTTTACTCAATAATTTTTTTGATTGAATGCAAAAATTTCCCTCAAGCGAATTTTGGGTTAAAATACGTAGGCTTTTGAATGGTAATAACAACGTTATAATACAGTTAAACACGTGCAAAAGCATTCATTTAAACTCGTCAGTAATTTTCGGTAGAATATGAGAATATACACGTGTTAGCGATTTCCTTTATTAAGTCGAAATTCTACCTTTTACTCCTAAATTCGTATGATTCATTTCTTAGCTTTCTGCCTTTTCCAAATCAGTTGGATGGTATATTACTGCACTGATCATCTTCTTATTGATCGATAACTGCACTACAAAATATCATCGGCATTCCTTATTGATTGCTCAGAATTTCTAATTTGATACAGTTAGTCATGTTTAGTTTCAGTAAACTAGTAAACTGAAACAAGCACGTTTGTGTTGAAGTATTCTTTCTTCCTGCTGATATTTCCTTATCATGAATTACGAGTCATAAAAATGCGCTTTTTGTTAGTAAAAAGATTGATTACTAACTTTTACTTTTTGGTTCATTACATATATATATAGATAGATATAAAAGCCGTCGAAACTCGAAAAGACTATATTATATATAGTTACTGTTACTTTCACTGTTACTGTTCGACTTTTATTTAAGTCTAAAATTCTTTAGCTGCTGAGAAAATCTTTTTTTTATGCTCATCACTATCATGAACAGTAACAGTGAAAGTGAGTGAACTTCATGGCAAAATGTCACAATCAAGTCAAAGTTCAAAACAGATTTAGTTTAACTTTTGTGTAAGTGAAAACGGAACTTAAGACAACTGTGAAGGAGTTTCTCGAGTCGTATTTTAAATGGAAGTGAAAACTGAAATGCTGTGATCTTAATGATTGGAAGGAGCATAGTCGTTGCTTGATCCCCAGATTGAGCTTATATAACCTCTGTCATCATCTCTTTGTAAATTTGCTGATATTTTGAAATAACGAAACTTCAGCTTTTATTTAAGTCAAAAATTTTTTAGCTGCTTAATTTTTGCTCAGTAATATCATCGCTGTCAGTAACACATTATTATCAGTTTGTCACCACTATTTGCTTTTGTAGGTATTTTTATTGTTGTCAACAGCGTTCGTAATCGTAGTCATACTATCACTACTAACATCCACCACTTATAGTTTAATTCGTCTCCACGATTAACAGAGATATATGACGTTGTGAAAATGCACTGCATTGAATTCCGTAACTTCACAACTACCACAATGTATAAACAATTTGGTATTTTGCTTTCTCATAATTTTCCATCAATTTTTTGCTAGAAAGCTGCTCTGTAATGATGAATATTATCTGTTTCAATTTGTGTTTATCTTCCAGATTTTTCAATTTTCATTTCTTTTTTCATTGTTTACTTTTTGTCAGTTCATTGTAAATTCAATACATTTTTGAACCATTAAAGAAATGTTTGACAAAGTTTATAAAAAGTTAGCTTCTGACGTCATTTCGACTGCCCCTCATGATCTCTAGTTTTTCAGATAAATTGTTACTGGTGGATTTATCAGTTCCTTCATTCTTCTCTATTAGTATTCCTAATTATTCATACAATATCAAAACATATCTTAAAACCACTCTTTGCTTTCGGTTACAATCGAATATCAAATTATAATTTTTTGTTGTTTTAATTTTGTGCAAAAATGAAAAATACAGCTTTATTGCATTACTTGAATATTTTATTCCATCTAAATTAACTGCTTCTGTAATTGTGTTTATGTTTGATTTGTTATTTACGATCGAAATGATTAACTTACCATATTTCTTGCAAAATATTTACCAATAGTGTTCACTGAATGGAAGCCATAAAACGACATTGAAAATTGCTGCCATCTTACTTTGTTTTATTAGCTTGACAATTTGAATTTGCCATGAAAAAATGGAGCTGAGAAATTGTGCCTTGTCCATTTATGCGCACTGACAATAAGAATTTTAAACTGGCAACGAATAACATAAGTTTAGTACTAATTTTCACACCGTTATTACTTCTCAGTCGACTTACATTGAATGAAATATAAACGCAGAACAATTAAATTTAATTATTATATTCAAATTTACAATATTCAGTATCTTTTTTTCTTCTTTCCATTCAAATATACAATTGTCAGTACTAGTTTGGGATTATTATATTTTTCGCTTGAAAATTCTTTCTGTTTATAAAATGTCAATATGCACAGAACTAACTCATTTTCAACCCTATCAAAAGTTCTGCACTACGTAGAACTATACAGTCTCGTCAATTTGAAAACTTTCCATACTGTAATCGTAAAATTACACTTTATCTGAAGTTTTTATGCAAATTCAAATTCATTATTATAGTAAGTGAAGGATTAGAAAAGTATTGCTTGAATCCTTTTTTTAAATTAATCTCAACAAAAAATGTATTATTTCTACATTTTCACACTTATAGAAGAAAGCTAATTGATTAAATACTCAAAAGTGTGGAGAAATCTTGCGATCAGTTTGTTTTTATATGATTAAATTCTGAAAAATATTTAAGATTTTTTCTACAAGTGCATTTATCAATCACTGATAGTATTATCATTTCTTTATTCTGATTGTTTCAAGTCAGTTTTTGACATTTTTGCACGATATGAACAGCAAAATTGATTCCTATGAAAATCAATAATTTACCAATCGTGATTAACTAATTCAATTATTTACTCTTGTGATGCTTACTGATATGCAGTACTTTTTCATTGACGAAGTCATAATTATGCTAATTTATATATCTTGTCATTTGCATTTTGAAAGACCTTCAGTAGCTGATTTCCAATTTCATTATCTCAGTAATCATTAATAACTAATACTACTCGATAAGGAAGCCATTTCAAGCAAAAAATTGAAATATATGATTAAAGATGAACGTTTGTAATGATCGAGCACAGCAAATTTATAATCTAAATGCTTCAGAGCAAGCATTTAACAGGTAAAACAAGCTGTCATTGTGATAATGCAGTTGTTATCAATTACTTATCAGCTAGCTTGCAAAACCATACAACATATTTCTGAGTGCTTTATTCATTTCCGGAGACGAGTGCTGACGTGTAAAATTAGTGACCTTGTAGATTAATTTAATCATCGTAGCAGTTGTGCTTAATTTCAGATGATGCTGCATGAATAAAAGAATGTTTCAAAAATATGTAAGATGAAGTTTAATTTTGCTATATATTTTTTCCTGAATATCTAAAAATATGTACACATTGAATAAGAATTGAGTAATAAAATTTATTCGGCGCTAAATTTGAATTTTAATTACTTTGCAATAAAGACCTGAATAAGCATTTTATTTTTAACTTAAATTAATTTAAATTGTAGTGGGAAAACAAATTTTGCTCTCTTTTTATCTCTAAAAAATGTCCTCTGAAACTCTTTATCATTCTTGTAAAGAATATACGTTATCAATTTGTATAACTGTATTGCTATCTAGACAAGTTTTCGAGCTCTAGCTGAAGTAACATCATAGCATTCAGGGAACATTTGAATTCTGCTTGGATAAATTTGTTCTCTCTAATCAGAAGACTAAAAAAGTACTGAGAGAACTAGCAAGTACGCACTGAATAAAAATTGAGTAGTAAAATTTATTCGAAGCTTAATTTGAAAAATAATCGAAATTTTATTCAGAAAATATTATAAATGATGCATGAAATTATCATTAATTGAAGCAATTCATATTTATTGCAATGTAATTCAAAGACTGCAAAAAATATTACATAATGCTGTTTAGCTCGTGAATTCTATACGAGAATTCGACTGATTATTACTTGAAAATAAGCGTTGAAGAAATTACTCTTTCACTGAATGAGTATATTAGCGTGATGTCTAATATTTAGGGCTGGACGATGATGATAAGTCAAAGTTAGTATGGCGTCTAACAAGAAAGAATATTAATGTAAGTACTTCTGCACATAATCAGTATTGTCACAAATATTCAAATGATCTGGCATTAAATGAATAGAAGAAAACTTATTAACATTAGTAACGAAATTGTTATAAATAGTAAGAATAAAATTGAATTGGTTAAGTATTTTCGACGTAAAAAAAACGAAACAAAGTAAAAGAAATTAGCTAGCTAGCTAGTTTAGGTTTTTATTTTTAGTGATTTGATGATAACATCACGATTTTTCAAGTATTTGAGTGATGATAAAGTTAAAGTTACTTGCAGCTTTTTCGACTGGTCATAAAATCATTGAGTCATTTTGACTGCTGATTAAATCGCTATGTTATTTAACTTGTGGTAAAAGTGAATAAACAAAATTGTTCAGTGCCTCGTTAATCTCTTCCTATGAACTACTTTTAGTTAAACCAATAAATAAAACCATAAATTTCATTTTTATTTTCCACGCACTTAATTTCAAAAATTTACCCGAAAAATGTTAGCAGTGCTTGCTTTGAAAGCCTATAAAAAATAATGTTGTTCGAGTATTTATTTATTTGTTCATTGATCACTTGCTAAGCAAATTTCTCGCTTAAAAAGACAAAATAAAATACCATTTCAGGACTTCTTTATCTCACTTACGTCACAGACGACAAATCATATGAGTTGGGATAAAATAAATGTAGAAAAAATAAAAAATAGTTGAAGACACAGTATAAATATAGCATTCACATTACTTATCTAAGCAAAGCAGTGTCACTTTTAAATGCCTACAAGCATGAACTCACTGTCTTAATTTGTACAGATGTCGGCTTATCGTTTTAGCGTAAACTTTCTTTCCAGGAACTAAATTTCAAGTTTCATGATGATAATTATGACTGAAGCAACGGTCTTGAATGAAGTAAAAATGCAATTTAAGTAAGCAAAGACTTTATATTCCGTTAGAATCAATATTTATTATATTTTGTCAGAAATAGAATCGGAACTGATTGTGTCTTTGAAACATAAAATTATAATTTATTATAAGCAATTTACAATTTAGTCTGGAATTTGTCAAAACAGCTAAGCTAATAAGATTTTCACGCTAATAAGCTTTAGCCTCAATAATCAGCCATATGTATGAATTCTTTGAAGCAATTACTGCAACTATTTTTGAATAATTATTAAATGACCTAAAGCTATGAATGGTTAAATGTATGAGCAATTTTCGCGAACTGTCTTTTTAATTTTTACTAGATGATTGAGCAGAGCGAAGGATGAGAATGGATTTGTGTTTAAAAATGAGAAATAAAGAAAATTAATAAGTAAATACTAAAAAAGAATAAAGTTTTGTACTCTTTAGCAATTTATTGGATCTCATAGATATAAAATTAATTTTTAAAATGACAAGATGAAAAATTATTTACAGAGAAAGCAAATATTTACAGCAATCCCAAAGCAACTGTTTTAAATCATTCATGCAACTATTTTCAACCACTTTTTATTAACACATAATTTGTTTTGCATTTAGACAAAATTAATTTTAGTGTTTTATCCCGCAGCTAAGATTACGGTTCTACGCTTTAAGCAAAATCGAAGTTGTATTAATCTGAACTTCATTTTTTGTTCGTTTACTTGTGAATCTAAAAGTATGTCATAATACTGTATGTATAAGACTGATGGTTTCTCTGAAATAATTTTTGTGTCAATAGAAACGTTCAAAACAGATCTACAGTAACTTCACTACAATTGATGTAATTAAATTTTCGTTTTTGTATTTTCATTGATCACTTCAGACAAATTAATATTAGTTTTGTTAGAACGACGTGATCAGTGAAATTGTCAGTGAAATTAGTACATAAAGTTAATGAGAATTCAATATCAAAGCAAATAATGGCAAGTAATTTTTTGTTTTTGACATCAAAACAATAATATCAATCATTCTTCCTTGCAAGGACAGAATTCCTAGCATAGCAAGCAAAACACAGACAAAATTAAACAGTTGTAAGCTTCTTACACTTGTCACGTTTGACAGATCGACTCACATTCATCACTTCTTGTACATCGTCAGTGCCCTTCATCACCTTTGATAGACCAAAACGAAAAATCTATCACAAACCATTTCATCAAAAAAATTGCAAACATTTCGGAGCAGTCAGTAATTTGGAGTTTCGATATTATTCACTGTATACCAAATTAAAATTTAGAATAGAAATGAAAAGACTGGCAATAAAAAACTTATTTCGAATTTAAATTGTCAGAATCAATGCCAAAAGATTTGTAAATGAGATCAAGTAAGAAATCAAATTTGACCCCACAGTCTTCAGATTGATGATCTCTTTATTTGCAAGAACAAAGCTTAAAAACCTTTATTGTGATTCCAAAATCAATTTTAATTGATGTATTTCACAGAAACAGTTTTTACTTTGCTCAAATTATTTCTATCAGCCACATTTTCCCTTTATTACAGATTAATTGTGATTATTATGATTGTTGCCTTTGCATATCTCACAGACTGCTTCTTCTTAATAAGAGCTTTATTCAGATGTAATTTACAACATGAACTAAGCATAATGAAGGCATTAATATTTGGTTGCGAATACTGACTAATGATTGAAACTCGTTGCTATCGATGTGAAATTAAATTTAAATATTTTATTTATCCATTGTTTTTGCAATGTGAAAAATTATGAATCTAAATAAATACTTGAAATGTGTGATTAAAATCTGTGGCATTTCTGTCTTTTGCAGTTCTTTTTTAAAATTTTGCATATTTATTTAAAAAATTTTCTTCTGAATAATAAGTCTGTTAATATGTAAAAATTATTGATGTGTATAAATTTGATTGTATACTGCACAAATACGTCTTTGAAATCTAAGTTTTCCATAGTTAAAAAAATTGAAGTCATTAATCATAAGTATTGAACTTTTGATCATTTATTAATGCGATATTATAAGTATCTGAATCACAACATGGATTACTGCAAAGCATCAGTCAACATTGGGGTATGACTAAGTTGTATCCGAAAATCCTTTTTCTTAATTTCGAAAAGTCAAATATGCAAGCGAACAAATAAGCAACAAAAATTAAAAAAGTTTATTCAACTTTCTGAAACAAATCGATTCTGATTATTATTATTGAACACTGTGAAATGTCAATTTATCTTCAAATCGATTGATCAAGCAGACTTTTTAGTTTTTATTTTTTTGTTAAAATTCAAACGCAACCGATTAACTTCTGCATTGCAATAAGTAGTGTTCTACCGATTAAATTTTCTCTAGAAATACCTAACTTTGGTTATAAGTTAGAACTACCTGAAATTCGTCATCATCGTTAAAATTAATTAAATAAGTAAAGTTGGAATTATATTTAAAAGATAAAAATACTGCAATAATTGCATGGATGTATGTGTTTACAAAGAAAATTACAGGCCTTATTCATTACAACAGGGCAATTGCCAACTGATTGTGCATTTCTAGAAAGCCTTCGGTCGAATGGTTGGCAGGTTTGATGCTTCATTTTTTGTTACGTTCAAGCATGAAAAAATAACTTTCCATTCTTAATTCATCGCAATTTACTTCCTTGAGGTTGTGAAAACCACTGTAGCGATCTCAGAATCCAATTATCAGCAGCACAAGCCCTCACTGGTTCTGGTGGATGTGCGCTTACCCGACTTCAGCAGTCTTATCAAGTATGTTCGTAGCTATTTTGTCAATATAAAATTATAATTCTAATATTTATAAAACAGCAAACCTTTGTAGGTATACTATGTGAAGAATTATAAACTTTTCTAATATTTACTACAATTTAGTCAAACAGATAAATGCTATTGAATTGCTTGCGTGAATCAATATCATATAATATTTAGATTTTATAAACTTAACAAGTATAAACGCTATCTAAGCTTCAGTTAGATGAATGAAAAAATTTAACCGCAAAGACTGTTTGATTGGAACTTAAAGGAAAAGTTTTAAATTTATTTGTGTATTTTTCTTCTCAGCGTGCCTCGACAACATTAATTTTATATCTAAACAATATTTTAGATTGAAAATCGAACGTAATTTTAAAAATGTCTGAATTGAATCAAAGCATGCTGAAAATTAATTAAGACAAGTAATCAGTTAATAAATAAATAAATTAATTAATTAACTGATTACTTGTCTTACAACAACTATGCTTTTTTCAAGCAATATCATAACTGTAATTTAGAAAAACTTCTGTCCATTTAAAATCAAATTTTTTATCATCGAAATTGCTTTCCAAGTTTTCACGCCATTAGTTTCTTCTAGATATAAATTTTTTTAGTAAAAAATAATTAGTGGTTTATGTATTCAGAACATTGTATTGTCTTCCGGAATCTGAAGAAGTATTTTTCGCGGCGTTATCAAACAGGTGATTTACTTTAATTAATTTCACTAAATGTGATTTACTGGATGGTGATAGAATCCTTATTATAAATAAAAATCGTTGCTGTTATTAGTATAAAAATTAAGTAGTGTAATTTTCATATTTATTTATGCATAAGGTGAGATCTAATCATGCTTTGCAAATGTTTAATCCACCTATGAATTTGCAAAAAAGTTTTCTGCTGATTCATTCTCATTCTATTGTTGCTGTATATAGAAAATTTTCTATTTCAGCTCTTAATTTTTCTGCTTAATCTTTGTCAAGTTATAATAATAGCATCAATAATAAATAAAGCTTGCTTGACAGCTTGGCACAGTTTCAGATCACTCTCGGATAAACGCAAGCGTTTGCTGTTGCAATCTGAAATTAGCCACGTGAGTTGATTTGGTTTCGAAAGCGTAATTTCCTAAGCATAATCGAATGTTCACGTGATGGTGCACGTTTGCTACGTGATAAAATCATTTCAAATTGACGTGAGAGACGTGTGTGTATTTGATTTTCGAATCCTTTTATAACCGAATATTCTGAATCAATTTCATACTTTGAACAAGTGCAAAGATGAATGTTGGAGAAATAGTAGCGGAATATTTGCAAGTTTAGCGTAGAAAGGTCTACTTTCTATGATCAGTAAATTAATGTCCAAGTAATGTCGTAAATGATAAAAACTGAAAATTTTCAAAATAAGTTGATGTGAATTATTATATTATTTAAGTGAAAATTATTTTTAGCTTTTAGATATTCATCTCTTCATCAACGGATATCGCGCTCTGCAATTTATTCGCACGTTTATTAACACGTGTGAGAGCTGCTGCCGCAATTTTTGCTGTTTTAGATGAGGTTGAAAATTAAAATTATAAGTAAAGAAAATATGATGATTTAAAAAAGCAAGATAAATCCAACATAGCAATATTTTGAGGTGCAAAGAAAAATGCTATATTCACTCATTCCAATTACTATAAACTAACTTTTAAAATTAATTGTAACATTTGTAGTTTACTGCAGTAGCTTATTTACTTCTAAATTAATACTTCAACGTGAAAGCTCTTCGTAAGATCTGTTTGCCCCGATAATTTGTCAAAATCTGTATATTTTCTTTATTTTCCTAAAAAATTTTTCAATAAGCATAAAATATATAAAGCAAACTTTTGAACTATCAAATTGAAATGTAAACTAAACTTTGAAATGATTAGTATAATGTAATATCAAATAATATGCAAGTAGATAAAAACGTTAAAAAGTAATTATGACGAGAGTAGATATACGAGTAAGTGATTGTGGCAAGAAATGAAGCCGTAATCATTGATATGATTTAGCTTAAGTTGTAACAGAGTTAACAAAAAGACGAGAAAAGCAATTCTAATTTTTATCAGCATAATGGAACTGTATGTTCAATGTTTTGAGTATTGTAGGTAGATCAGCCGATTGAAATATGTGATAATGCCTTAAATGTTCAATATATAAATCGTGCTTATGAAGTTCACACTGGTTTCAAACGGTACGATTGTGAAGTTAATAATTCATTAGTTAATCAATCATCAGTTATTAGTTGATTGCAGATAAATTTTGCGCATCATTTTAGAGCTAATTTTGTTTGAATTATTAAGAAACTTCTTTTTTACAACTCAGAAACTCATCACATATTACTCAGAAGATTCTTTAAAACAATCATAAAAATATTTCACTACTACACTATACATGTACAAGTTATAGTACATACAGTAGTTTGTGATTCCAATATTTTTGGCAGTAAAATATAAAATAGTTGAAATTCATAGTAGTAAAAAGTATAATTCATGCTTTTTTTCATTCAAAGAAGTATGCTGTTACCAGAAAAAATAAAATATTTACATATTCAGCAATATTTGATTAGTTTTCTGAAAAATTTTTCATTTATTTCATTGATTATTTATGTTGACAGGCCTAAACTTCGATAAAATTATTCTAAACCGCCTTCAGAAGTGAAACGCTTGGTACTAAATCATCTGAAAATCGTCGAAAGTCTTTATATAGAACTTTGAGTCGGAGCAAAGATTCTGAAAATGAAACTGCTAACAGAACAAGCAAAGAATGGCGCTGCATTGAAGTGCCTAGCAGTTCGAAAAAGTAACTATTTCAGGATCAAGTAATTTCAGATGCAGGATATTGAAATATGAGAAATTTGAATACTTCTAATTTGCAGGAACTCACAACTTCATGCTTGGCAGTTTAAATATTTAAATTTTTATCAGTTTCAGCTACTAGATGTGAACAACTCAATTTTTTTGCAAAGAAAACTTTATCAGTAATTTAACTTTATTATGATCGTAATCTCATAAAACTAAACAAAAGTTAAG